AAGTAAGAATCTTAGAAAGTGAAAGCAGAACCAGAATAAAGAAAAAAGCAAGGAAAGACTGACTGTGGGATTGATTGATGTTTTTGGTATAGACCCTGGCCTGGGACAACTGAGAACTTTAGAAAATTGAAAGAAGAAAGAAGGAAAGTAAAAGTGGGTTTTTTGTGGACTTTAACGATCATAAAATACAAGAGTGTGTAATGATGATATCTCTTTGGGAATTAAAAATGGAATTTAAAAGTATGAGAGAATTACTACAGGAAAGAGGCGAATCACTTTGTTCTGTGTTAGAAAAAAATGGCGATTGAAGAACAAGAAGAAAGAGCTTCAGAGGAGGAGGAGTCGATTCAAGGAGAAGATATTTTAAATAGTCAATTAACACAAAGAACACTACAAAGAAGTGGGGAAAGAAGGAAGGTTAAAAAGTTGAGATTTAAGAAGGCAATCAAAAGGGGGAATACCTGTGAAGTTGGGAAAGGCAGAAAAACCCAGCAGAAAAGAGGAAAGGAAGATATTAAGAAAGAGAGGGATATAAACTGGAATGAGAAAAGATATGGGGAAAAGAGGGGGAGGAGAAGCAGTAAGAAACAGGTGCATGAAATAAAGAAATATGGAAATAGTAAAACGTTGAAAAGAAATTGTTTTTTCAGAGATAATGGTTGATGAATTAAAAAGGTAATTCTGCAGGGTGACAAGGGGTAATAAGAATATTTCTGCAATTAAAAATATTTAGAAAATAGGGTAATATAGATACTGATAACTTTTATTAAAAATTAAGGGGGAAAATATGCTGCGGAATCCAAATGAAATGATGTAACTTCTTAAAAATAATGGTTTATTGGGAATCAAGATGAAGGAATAAAGGTATATTTTAATCATGGAGGTATCACACTCAGAGCAGTAAAAGGGGTAAAACCTATACTTGTTTTTTTTCTTTAGTGTTAAAATTTGTATTAATCTAGAATTTATAAAAAGAATGTGTAATGGAAAGGAAATATGACAGACTAAAGAACCAACTAAATTAATAAGTTAATATAGACTATTAAAAGCAAGGAGAGACATTGGTAACCTTTTTATTGCTATTGTTATTATTATTATTATGAAAACAGATATTGTTTATCTTTATTTTTAAAATGAATATTAAAGGATTATATTTGAGATAATTGAAATGAAACAAAAAGATGTTTAGATTGAGATTAATGAAAGAGGCTAGAATTAATGTGTTTGTTTCTCTCCTTACTGAAAATTTGGAATGGAAAAGGTAATAATAGAATTAAGTATGCATGTATGAATGTATAATTGCTGTCATATTTACATATGTATGTAAAGGTGATGACCCGGAAATATGTTGTCCACTAAAAAGAGATTTTTGTTTCTAATGTGAATTTGCCCTTGGCTAAGAAAAGTATACAGAGACATAACAAGTCAACCCAGGGGTCTCCAACCTTGGCAACTTGAAGACTTGTGGAGTTCAACTCCCAGAATTCCTCAATCAGCTGTAGCTGAGGAATTCTGGGAGTTGAAGTCCACAAGTCTTAAAGTTGCCATGGTTGGAGACCCCTGGATCAACAGACTGCCTTATGTGGAACCAGTCTTTCCCTTGTTGTGATCATGTGTTGCAGAGAAGGCCCAGACATCTAAACTTTGAATCAAGGTTTAAGTATCTTTTTTGGGGGGGAGGGTTGTCATAACTTTGAATGGCTGCTAAGTGATTGATCATAAGATGGGAACTACCTGTAGCTTTTTTATAAATGTACAAAGGGAGAGGTAATGTCCTTTCTAGGTTCAAACAATATCTGCAGAAGTTTTTGTTTTGTGTTTGGAGTCTTTTATGGCTCTCAGCTTGCCTTGCCAACAACCCTCAGAGAGTACCAAGGAATCCACAATTCAACCTTAAAATATAGTCTTTTTTTTTAAATACCAACATAGCCCCATGAAACGTGTAATTAGTAGAGGGCCTGCTTTTATTTTATCATTTCTTTATTACATATATTTGCCTCCCATCTCATTTTGAAGAGGCTCTGGGCAGCTTGCAGCATTAAAATATTTCTAAAACAATAAAAATGGAAATTACAATAAAAAAAAGCATAGTAAAAAGATGCGTGGGGGGAAGGAACAGGCTGCAAGGAGAGGGGGAGAGGTGGTATTGCCTCTTAATTCATCAATCACCTCCCGTATGATGTTCCCCTGTTGGGACCTCAAGCTGTTTGGCGAATCAGGTCTTCAGGGCCTTTTTAAAATTATTATCCTAGAATTTTAGAGGCTATTGAGCAGTATATCTTTCTTTTCATATGGACACTCAGCATGTTTCCAGATCCCTAAAATGATCTCCCAGGGATTAGAACAAGAAGCATTTCATTCCACCAGTTTGGCATGTGGTAGCTCTAATAACTCTTGTTCCTCTTCTTGATTTTCTCTACCATCAGTAATCCATGCTTTATCCAGCATTCTTAATCCTTGGTTCCAATTCTGTCCCAAATGTCTTGTCTTATTCTGCATGTTGCTCTAGCTCAGGTGTCAGCAGCCCGCAGCTCTGGAGCCGCATGCGGCTCTTTGGGCCCTCTGCTATGGCTCCCTATTGGGTGATCGCAGCACTGGCTGGCCCCGCCCCTCGCCCTCCCCTCAGTCACTCCTCGCCTGGCCTGAGAAGATAAAACACAAAAAAACAGAAAAGAGAGGGAGGGAGGGAGGGAGGGAGAGAGAGAACCCATTTCCCCCAGGAAACTCTGGGAGCCACAAAACCTGGGTAGGCTTGGCCGGGGGAGGTGTCCTGTGACTGGATGGGAGTGATGTTGAATTGGCCACGCCTACCCAGGTTTTGAGGCTCCCGGTGTTTTCTGTGGAAAACGGGTCCAAATGGCTCTTTGAGTGTTTAAGGTTGCAGACCTCTGTTCCAGCTCTTTATCTATCCTCCCCTGCCTAGAATCTATTGTCCTATTCATGTTAATGACTGTAACTACTCACTTCGTAGTTAGCAAAACCTTAAAACAACCTGATCCAAAAATCCCAGAGTTCCTTGCTGGAGGGTGGGGCGGGGGGGGGCTGGGGGCAGAGATCAAGGGAGTCTCCCATTAAGAAGATAGGATTGCCAGACATCAGAGCTGCTTGAACGCACGTCTCTTTTTGCTCTATCATTCCTCACATTCCTTCCCATCTTACCATTCTCTGCAAGCAGCATCTGTTCTGAACTGCAGAGATCTTCTTTTGCATCTTGCTATGCTGGGAGTTCTTTAGCTTGTCCTTGTTATTAAAACACCACCACTGATTTTATGCTGCAAGAAATCACTGGAATGATATGCATTAAAATGGGGTGTCAATATTTGTTATCGTTCCACTTAATGCTTGGAAATGACATTGTCCCTGATGTGGTATTTCTTGTCACCTCCCCAGAAACCTACCTAATGCAAGCTTTCCAAAGCTTTTTAATTAAAATAAACAATCTAAGCATGCTGCAAAGCAAAGCATTTACACCAAGCTCTCCAACAATTCTTGTGAGTGCCATGTAAAACCCAGAAGCTTTAAAAACTACAATGATGGGTGACTGCAGCTCAGGGTTTTTTTTGTCTGGCTTCTAGTGCGGGTGGATTGGCCATCAAGACAATCACTTGCAAGAGTTCCCTCAAAACCGCAAATGGAAGGAGAAAACAACAAATGCCCCTAAAACTGTAGCACCACCATATTTAGATGTAGTTTTGAAAGAAAGTGGGGGCAGGATGGGGGAAATTCCAGTCTTCGGGGCACGCTGAGACAGCTTGTCTTACAGGAACCTAAAGCAGCTGTGTTGCATCTCTCACATCCCATTTCTGTCTGGCCTCTCTGTTGATGTCACTCCCTCTTCCTCCCAAAGGACATAAATACAGAAATCTCTCAGGAGTTTAGTGATAAGTGGAAGTCATTTGCCACCATGCAATGTCTTAAGTCTTGGATCTACATAAGACTCCTTTTTGGGGCTTTAAATTCCCCAAATGGCTTAGCAGGCTAAGCTCAATGGAATCTGAGCCTAGGGTTCCATTTTATCTGGCATACCAGCATTTCCTGTTGGATACAGATAATCCCAACCATCTATGTCAACAAGAACAAAGCTATCGCTTCCAGATCTGACCTGCAAAAATCCAGGAGGGCTAAAAAAAAAAAAAGCAGCAAAGAGATACAGAAAGTTATAGCCTTTCTGTATAGACTTTCTCTCTTTTCCAAGTGGTTGTCCAGAATTTTGCAAGACAAACTTCCACTGATTGAACAGAATATAGGGGAGACCAAGGAGCAGAAGTATCACAACTCGCCATTGTTTTATCCCAGTATCGCCTTACCCCAGAGGTCCCCAAAGTTGGCCACTTTAAGACGTGTGGACTTCAACTCCCAGAATTCCTCAGCCAGAAGCTTTGCTTGGGGAATTCTGGGAGTTGAAGTCCACACGTCTTAAAGTGGCCAAGTTTGGGGATTCCTGCCTTAACAAGTTTTAGATGGCTTTCAACCCCCAGAATCCTTCAGCCAGACGTTTTTGCTCGGGGAATCCTGGGAGTTGAAGTCCACACGTCTTCAAGGCGCTAAGCCTTAGAACACGCTTCTCTTTCCCCAACAATCCTTTTACAGCCCTTGAGAGCCGAGAAAAAGCTCCTTAAAACCAGAGCTGGGGCCGCCGTACGGAACGAAGCCAACGGATCAAACCATAAGCTCGCAGAACGCATGCAGAAAATCCCGCCTCCCTTCCTCCCCCCCCCCCCCTCCCCTCCCCGGAGAAACTCCAACGCCAAAGCCGACCACTCTCCGCACCGAGAGCCAGCGCGCACGCGCCTTGCTCGGCACCTCGGGAGTTGTAGTTGTTGGCCTTTTCTCAATCTCCGCCCTTTGCCGTTGCAGGGGATAGGAGCAGGAAGCCAGGCGTGAACTACAGCTACCAGGATGCACAGCAGCGCACTTTCCCTCCACACATACACATACACACACACAGAGCTCCCCCGCCCCCCCCGCCGTCAAAACCTCTCCACCTCCCATATGAATGACTAATGCAACGTGTTGTCGGGCTAATCTGCCGCCGAGTCCCCGGAGGACTCGTTTTCCCTTGGGGGACTTTTTCTTCTCTAAGTTGGGTCCCGGAACCGCGTTGAGTTTCAGCTGGGGCTTCGTAAGCACCGGGTTTCTCCCTGTCGGGGAGCGGCAGAGCTTGGAAAGTAAGTAAGGGGCGAGGTAGTTAGTATTTCCTGCTTAATTTATTATTATTATTATTTTTGTTGTTGTTGCATGGAGCCTGTACGGAGTTGGCCGAAGCCTCTCCTGGTTGTGGCTCCGGCATGTCGTGGACTGTGCAAATAGGGGGACAATATCGGTTTAATTTTCAGGCACCCCCCCGTTCCCCTCCGTCTTTTCTCCACAATGGCCAAATGCCAAGGCAAGGGGAGAGGTGTGCAATGGATATTTAAAATAAAAATTAAAAAATAAATCCTGGTGGAAGTTTCTTGAAGAAGCGGGCTTCGCTTTATTGTGTATTACTTGTGGGGGGATGCCTGTTTTGTCGTACCTTTAAACTTGGTTCCCCCCCCCCCTCCTTACTAACATCTCCCAACTTATCTAGGTAAAAAGTCTCTTCAGGGCTTTTTCCCACGAGGCAGCCTAAATGGGAAAGTTGTGCAAAGGAACCCCCCCCCCCCTGCCAGTGACATATGGCGCTGGGGAGTTTTGATAGAATAAAAACTTTTCCTCTTCTTCTTTTTTCTTTTTCTTCTTCTTCCCCTCTCTCCCCAGAGATAGAAAATGTCAATATTGTAAGGTGTCACAGTGTAAAAAAAAAAGGGGGGACCTTACCTGCCTGTTCTGAGCTCTCCCCAAATAGGTGTCATTTTGCAGAAACTGGAAAGGCGATTGAGATGGCTCGCAGGCATTTGTAGTTTTCGTTGGGTTAGAATGATGTAATTCCTTTTGCCGTTTTAGTAAATTGCACTTTTCGTGAAGAAAGGCACCATGCTGCCAGAAACTGAATTGGAGCAAAATTCAGATTTGAAGAGAACAATAGGCATTTAAATTCATATTGTGATTAATATGTTCCAAAAAAAAATACAAGATCTCATCTCTTTACTAAAATAACTTTTCCATTAATAACAGGGAAAAGTTATTAATAACAGGGGCTTGTTTTGGAATTATTTGGGTAATTGATGCAGTGGCATGATAATATATAAATACTATGTCGTTTTCAATGTGGCGTTTTAATATGGATGCATATTTTTTGTGTGTGTGTGTGTTTATATGCCCATGTTCTATTTCATGAATGTTATACTAAAAGTAGGATACAGTAGCTTAAAACAATGTTAGATACAAGTCAACAGGACTAGAAGGCAATGCCATGTGATTTAATTCTAGGGTTCGACTTGCCTTTGTTGTACTCATAGTTTACCATATATATTTCAACCTTTGCTTTTTTGTGGCTAAATTTATATACATTGATTCATAATACAATATACTGTATATTGTCCAGTGTAAATTACTGAACATTAATAGGTCACCATGTAATTGACTATATTTGGAAAGGGTTGATACATGAAACTCATTTAAGTGTTCAGTTAATTGGAAAATGTTGCTGTGGGAAGAATATTTTACAGAGGTACTTGCTAAACATGTCCTATAATTGTGAAGTGATTGCAATAGTCACTCCCAGTCTGTGAAAGTGGCTGTAATAACCTTTTTTGAACCACTGGAACTTTACCTGGAAGTAGATAGTTTGCAGTAGGCCTGTTGAAGCATATAGTAGTATATCAACTTTTGAAAAAGGTTCCAAATTTATAAAAGAGGTACCAAAGTCTTTGGCTTAAGAATTGGGAAAAAGGGGTGCTTATTTTGTTAGTCTATTACCACCACCTGGAAATTCATTTGTGTTGTATGGGGTACATTTGCAATGTTCCTTTCTCGAATCTTACCTTCTCCAGATTTGTGAGAACGACAACTCCCATTTGTCTGACCAGTAGTCATCTTGGCATTAAAGGAACTTGTAATCCCAAATACCTGAACAATACCAAGTTGGGGAAGATTATTTTAACCCATCAAATATACACGTTTTTTCCTCCCTGCATTTAAGGAATCAGAATTTACTCTTTAAACTCTATGCATTATCAAAATGAAGTATTTAGTTCCTTCTTGTGCACCTGGTGAGTTTAGTATTTTATGAAGTAACAGTTCTTAAGTAACTTAAAAGTTACTTAAGTTGAATTGTAGTCTTAACAGGTTTCATGGTGACTGGAAAACACAGCAGATGATTGTATAAACTCCTGGAAGATGAGCTAGTTTGACAGGGTACAAATTCCAGTATCCAATTATTTCTTGATCCTGAATGTGAACTTTGGGCTCGTGACGACTCACTGTTTTGACTCCAGAATGAATGGTATAGCTGTCAACGTTGGTTTTTTTTTATGCTTTGGGATGACTCAGTGCCTCAGAAAATTGATTTAAAAGCTGAATGTTCCTGTCTATGAAGTGGAATGTGCACTGAGATCTTATCCTTTGGCTATATAGTAAAATAAAAGAAAGTTGAAACAGGTTAGCATTTTGCAGCCTATAATAACAAAAGAATGTATACCATTATTGCTTTCATTGATCAAAAATACCAGCAGCTGATCTGCTTTTATTTGATTTAACTTGGTCAATTCCAAAGCAATGAGATTATTTTTGTAGAAAGTTTATTCTCAAAGGGTCTCCACCTCTGAGAATAGTACGCTACTAAGTTTAGTTAAAAAATAATTATTTAGAGAATATTTCACTTTGTTTTGAAAACCCTTGTTTTCAAATAGTCTTCTATTTCAGTGGTTGGTAAAAAAGCAAGTAGAATCTCAGGTACCAAACTGATTTCAAATTGATTGGGAATGTGGGATTTTTATAGAAATATGTTATGCCAATTATTATCACCTTTATCAATGGGGATAGTATTTATTTAATCTGGGGTCTCCAACCTTAGCAACTTTAAGACTTGTGGATTTCAACTCCCAGCTCCACAAGTCTTAAGGTTGCTAAGGTTGGAGACCCCTGTTTACCCATTCATTTGTTCGACATGTATTTCCTCCTGGAACTCAAAGCAGTCTGAAAACACAATTTTCTTCCTTTTTCCCCACAACTGTGATTGTCCCAAAGGTGAATTTCAGTGTCTGATAGTAAACTTGAATATGTTCTTAGATCAGTTATACCAGAATGTTTCTTAGGGCAATTACATTTTTAACATTTGAAAATTTAAAATCCTTTTCTAAGATAAATCAATGTGGTGACTTAGAGAAAGTTAGATATCTCATTATCCATGTTTTGAAACGTTTCAAACTCAACTGAAATATGTTAAAGCTAATCAGCTGTACTGGACTAGGTCAGAGTCTGAAAAAGGAATAATAAGAATAAATTTGTATAGGTTATTTTAAAACAAAAAAATCAAATGTGAATAAATTAAAAATGTTAAGTAGATTTAGATATTTCTGTGGAGATGAGAAAATTGGATTTTCTCTGGTTTCATATATTCAAAAAAAAAAAGTTGGTCAGACATTAAAATTATAAGATGAATAAGAAGTATTCTTATTGTTGAAAATGTCAGTATCAAATAAGAAACTTCAATTTGCTGACAAATACTGGGAGATAATTAACAATTGGAAAGAGTCCTGTTTCATAAAGAGCAAACATATGGTAACTGTAGTATGGATGTTTTATGCAAAGACAAATGGTGCTAAAACCAAACTTGCAGATAGACAATTGGATCATGTTGGACTGTGGTGTTAAAATAAAAATAGCATATCATATTAGAATGGCAAATATGCAAATACTAGGACGAATTCATGGAAATTGATCAAGTTTAACTGAATTTTGCAATAGTTTTCTGCTTTTTAGCAATATGATGTAATGAGATTCTTTAAATAGTTTTATTGAATTTTTTTATTGAAGAGGCATGAGTTAAGTTTGATTTTATTACATAGTTTATTAGGGACTAAGTACAGTTAGGGATTTATACTCCCTATAATATACTCTATTTATAAATAAACAGAACAGCAGATTGCTACTTTCAAAGATGTCCAGCCTTAGAAAGCCAGTGGTGGATGATCATATACTGACTGATTTTCTATAGTTGCAACAGAGTGCAATTGAAGGTCACAGTACAGGTAGTCCTCTACTTACACCAATTGATTTAGTGACTGTTCAAAATTACAACGGCACTGAAAAAAATTGATTTATGACCATTTTTCAAACTGGCAACCTTATGGCATCCCTATGATTATGTGATCAAAATTCAGATGCTTGGCAACTGGTTCATAGTTATGACTGTTACTGTGTCCTAAGGTCATATGATCACCTTTTGCAACCTTTCAACATGCAAAATAATGGGGAAGACAGATTCACTTAACTATGTTATTAACTGATCAACTGCAATTATTCACTTAAAAACTGTGGCAAGAAAGATCGTAAAAAGGGGCAAAACTCACTTAACAAATGTCTCAATAACAGAAATTTTGAGTTCAATTGTGGTAATAAGTGGAGGACTTACCGGCATAAATGTGAATTATTTAGCTAAAATTATACTTCCGTCTGTCATATTTGCAAGCCACAGTTAATAACTTAACTTCTTCCATCAAGTACTTATTAAATAGCACGTTTTAGATCCATAAAAACCAAATAAATAAAAGAGTGGGTGTACCGAAACATGAACAAAGTGAAATTCAGAGGGCTGAAATTAGTCAAATCTGTAGTGAAAATGTAAGCTTCTTCCTTAGCCAGGTCCTAGTTACACTTAACTCACATGTGCAAATTATTGCTTGCAATTTATTGTTTACAACTTGAGTGCCTTTGTACAGATTTATTCAGTAAGTTCCGGGACATTAGAAATTAAATTTGGAACAGAGCAGATCTAAAAATAGAATTATTCATAACGTTATGTCTTTCAGCTAAGGGGCATTCAGTAGCATTTCTGATTTAAGTATGAGTATAAATGTTAAGTTGGTAATTAAATGAGAAAATTAAATGTATAAAGAGCTGCGTCTGTTTCTTCTGTATTGTTAATTTCTACTCTATGGCACCATCATCTTACAAATGAGTTTGGACATTTGATGTGCTATCAGTGGTATTGTTTAAATTTGTTGTGTGCAATTAGTATTACTAGTATCAGTACCAGTACTAGATAAACGTATCTGATACTTTTTTAATCTTGGAAAAAGTTCTTCCTGATGCAACTTTCATACACAATCTTTAAGGTATAATTATTCTTGAAGGATACATTTTCGCCATGTTCTAAACTCCATTCTAATGACTATATTGCAGCTATTTGTAATTCAATCTGATTCAAACTTTTTGGCTCATATGCCAAAAAATTACGTAGAAGGAGTGTGTACAACTTTAGTGTTTACTAGGCTAACTATCCTCAACTCCCAATGCACCAAGTCAGGGGTCCCCAACCACCAGTCCCCGGACGGGTACCGGTCCATGGAACAATTTCTACCAGTCTGCTGGTTTGCTGGGTGCCGCCATCTTATTTTGATGAAAAAGTGCTTCCGGTGAGCTTTTCCGGGTAGAAAGCGGCATTTGGGTGCTGAAAGAATCCTCGCGCCTTAGTTTCATCGAGGGGGGGCGGCTTCGAACAAAACTAAGGCGCGAGGATTCTTTCAGCACGCATGGCAAGGCGAGCTGAGCGACCGTCCCGAAGCCGTCGCGAAGCCCATCGACACAGGTACAAAGGAGGAGTTGAAGGTGGCGGGGAGAAGTGGGGGACGGCTGGCTGGCCGGTCGCTCGGCTTGCCTTGCCATGCGTGCTGATGCCGGTACCGGGCCGCGGCACAAAAAAGGTTGGGGACCACCGCACTAAGTCACCTGAATAAAAGAGCGGGAAGTAGCATTGTACTGAATACAATGGGAGTTGAAAGTGTGGATTTGCTATCCATATCCATTCTTTTTCTTCCATTCATGAATGCTACCCCACCACAACAGTGATACCAATTGTATGATAGCAGTAAGCTATCATGGTCTCTTGTGATAAATAGCTTGGCTTTAAAGGACTTGCAGAAATAAATACGTAGTTAATTTCTTTGAGCACTTTCCAAGTTTTTAACTTTGAAAGAAATAGCCTTGTTGCTTGGTAGAAAGAAAGAGAAAATAGTTTTGCAACACCTGAAGCCTAACACATTTAAGGTGACTTAGGCTTTCGTGGACTACAGCTATTTCAGCAGATGCATTTGTAGTTTATGCCTTGCACATTTTTGTGAGAAAATAGCCTTATGTGTGGAGAAGATTCTGTTATAACCTGTGATTTTAACTTGAGAATTTGATTTGGGGAAGGAAGTAGATGTCGGCCCTACTGGTTAGGCCAAACTATGAAACCAATTCCACAGGAAGGCTAAAATTATAAAAAATCATAATGATAATATAGGTGGTCCTTGATTTACAGCCACAATTGAGATCAGAATCTTGGTCATTGAACAAGGAGATGCCCACATGACTGCTTTATTCAATAACTGCAAAGCCAGCACTCCAGGTTACACTTGTTAAATGATATCAATAGCATTTGAAATGGACAGAATCCCAGATAAGGAGCCCTTTGGGAGAGGGAAACCCTGGGAGGCTCTAATCTGGAGCTCCTTGCCAAAATCCAGGCCAGAATTTCTGAATGGAGAATGAAGAGACACTCCTGTGCAACCTTTACCAAGTTTCCCAGGATTGATCTCACTCCTCTGAGCATCTTGTGGTCCTTACCATGTTCCTTTCTATTCAGGAGCTGAAAATCTTCCCTGCTGAAATCCAGACAGGATTTTCAGCCCCTGAGTGAAGAGAAATATATGCATGGCCTATGCTGAGCTTCCCTTACATCAGAGGTCTCATTCTCGCGGCCCGCAGGCCAATTGCGGCCCGCAGGACAATATCCTGTGGCCCCCACTGTGATATAAAAGTATAATATTAGTGCGGCATTTGAGGATATTTTTTTAACAACGTTTTTTGTGGAATCCCTTATGCGGCCCAGCCTCACCCAGCCTCTGCCTCCAGTGGCCCCCAGGTAAATTGAGTTTGAGACAGCTGAGCTCTTTACCTTCGTGTGCTTCCTCTCTGCTTTCTGCTTGGATTTAAGGCTCCCTCTCACCTCTGGGAGTTGGTGGAAAGAGCTGCCTGCCGAAGGATTTCAGCTCTGGCAGGATACTTCCTGTTAAGCAGACGTTTGTGATTAGCTCTGATTAGTGGCTTGAGCTGGTAGGTTTTGACTAGATACTTTAAATTTTGTCAATACAGTGTCCTGAGAGCTTCTCTTTTCTCTTCTGTAGGTCTCATTTGATTGGCAAGAATAAGGGACATTCCAGCTATGGAAGGGGATCAACAGCAAGAGGTAAATTTGCAAATTACAATATGTTATGTTACTAGGAAAAATACTTCTGGTGGTATGTTTAGCAGATATTTGCAATGGGTGCAATGTACAAGCAGAAGATGCAAGCTAACCTGATAAACTCCAGATGTGGGGAACCTAAACTGTCATAACTCCCAACAGGCAGACTCAAAAGACATTAAAGTGGGGGAAAGGCTAGGTTAGACAGATGACTGATTGACTGATCTAAAGATAAAGGTTATCCATCTATTAGACCTTGAAAATCAGGTATCAGAAGCTACACTCTTGTGCATACTTGCCCTGCAGGGCACTATAAATTACCGAAGTACACACTATGACAGCAGAAACCCCCAAGAGATCTTCCTTCTACCCTGAGAACTGTAGGATTATATACTGCCATTCTCAAGTATTTGTTTTAATTAATAAACCTTGAGCATTCATTTGAATTAAAAAAATGGGTATAAATCTTTTTTTTTTTAGCAGAACTCGCTTAATACAGCTACTTTATTTATCATTGACTTGCCTTAAGGAAATAGCCTGTTGTTTCACATGGAGAGGGCAGGGTGTGCTTGATTTCCATCTAACGAATCTTTCGGTGGCAAATAGCCCAAAATGCATTTGCATGGAAGGTTGAGAACCATCCTTTTAAAAACATCCACCTCTAAAAGGAAGAAAAAAAAACTCGCCTGCCTCCATTGCCATATGCGCAGTGCATTCATGGCTAACTGTTAATTAACATGTTACAGTATTGTTACTTTCAGGTAGGTCCTATACAGGTAATCCTCAGCTTATAACTAGTCACTTAGGACTGTTCAAATTTTCAGTTAATCTCCTCAGAGTGATGTGCGACTTATTTTCAAAGCTAGAATGGCTGCATGCGCCCCCCCCAGTCATGTGATCGCATTTATGGCACTTGGCAATCAGCCCATGTTTATAGCCGTTGGCAGAGTCCCATTGGCCACATGACCACGATTTATGGCATTTACTTCTGGCTTTTGACAAAAAAAATACCCACTGTACCCAATGTGTTTGCTTAACAACTACTGCTTCATTTAATAATCATGAGATAAAAGACAGCTTGTAAACTCAGGCGCCATCAGCCCACCTCTCCTGCTTGTTTACAGCCGCAACGGAGCAGGAGGCCGAGGGACGTGCTGGTGCTGAGGCACGAGGCGGGGGGGGTGCTGGAGCTGTCCCATGTGCCCCACAGAGGTTTAGGGCCCCTGCAGCCAGGCCATCTAAGCCCCAACACCTGTCTCACTTCGCGGCTGCGGCACCTGCAACCATGTGAAGCAGGAGTCTATGTGGTGGCTGGCCTACTTCTTCTGGTTTCTGGCAAAAAAATACCTACTGTACACAATGGGTTTGCTTAACAACCACTGCGTTCATTTAACAACCATGAGAAAAAAGCCACAATCATGTGATCTCTTAATGACTAGCGCAACCAGGGGTGATATTCAGCAGGTTCTGACCAGTTCTGGAGAACCAGTAACAGAAATTTTGAGTAGTTCGGAGAACCGGTAAATGCCACCTCTGACTGTCCCCACCCCCATCTATTCTCTGCCTCCCAAGTCCCAGCTGATTGACTGGGTCTTCTTTGGTTGCCCTGCATAGGAGAACGGAGCTGGAAAGCAGGTTAATGGGGTGGGGAGGGAATATGGATTTTGCAGTAACCTTCCCCCAGGAGTGGGGAGGAAATGAGGATTTTGCAGTATCCTTCCTCTGCCACACCCACCAAGCCACACCACGAAACCATTCCCACAGAACCGGTAGTAAAATATTTTGAATCCCACCACTGAGCGCAACCTTAAATTTAGGTCAGTTAATTGTAACTTGTAAGTTCATTGTAAACTATCCATATACTGTACACTTGGAATTGCCTGTACTTTTCAATTACAGCCTGTTTCCAAGCAGTAAAATTATTGAAGTTGTAAGTTGACTTGTTCCTTAACCGACAACCAGTGCCAATAGTGAATGTATTTGAGTGGTGTAAACCGGAATGTTAAAAAAATAATGTTTAAAAATTTGTCCTGCATACTTTATTTTTATTCCATACAGATTGCTGCCGAATCAGAGGCTTTACCTAATGCAGAAGGCGACGGGCCAGAAGATGCTTCAGATATCGCATCCAATATTTGTATGTTTTATCCTTACGGGAAAGCCGGTTTGCTTCATAGTTGTTGTTTTTTCAAAGCCGTTTTGATTAAAGTTAGGGCTTCTCAGAAAAAAGTTAAGTCTTGTTTACAACTGCTGTAGCCTAAAGAGTCAGAGCTTGATGGGCTTGGATACGTCACATAGTGGCCACAAGCACACCTGGTTGTGTGAATGGGAAAAAAGTCCCCATACGTCACATGAAGCCACCATGATGATGTGACTTTGACAACTCCGTGTTAAAAAGACTTCTACTTTGGATTAACCTATACATGTATCATAAAAGATGGCATATTAGACAAGGGTAGAAAGAACCACATTTTGTTCTTGTAAAGTTATATGTTTGGGAAATTTCTGTGTGCACAACCTATTACTGATACATTTTTATAACTTCCTTTGGTGAAAAAAAATAAACCTGTTATTGCAGGATTGTCTGAGACCTTTGTATTATTATTTGCTTAATGTAATTTAAAGGTTAATTTAAAGGCACTTAGAATAATGTGTTACCAGAAAGCTACTAAAAAAATAGGATTTAATGGACAGTGGTTCCTATTAGCTTTGCTTTGTCTTTGGAGCTGTTGCTTTTGGTAACCTGGCTTTTTAATCTACTATATTTTGATGAAATAGAACATTTGTATCTAAAAAAACCCTAAATGAAATAATGACAGTTTCATCAACAATGAATTTTTAAACTGGCAGGTCTAATATAGTAACGACTGTAAGGGTTAATTCCAAAATTGTGTTAGAGTTGTGATGGAGCACTGCTGATTCTGATTTTCTGTGGTTTCTTCCCCAAACCCCCAAAACTTTAACCTTAGACTGTCTACTATTGACCTCACCCCTTTCCTAAGAGGCCTGTAGGAGGCGTGCATAAGCAGACCAACGTGCCTACCGTCCCTCTCCTATTGTTTCTTTTATTTTTTATTTTTCTTATATGTATCCATTTCATGTATCCATAATAACTATGTTTATACTTATACCTGTTATAATTGCTTGACAAAATAAATAAATAGATAAACAAACAAACAAATAAATAAATATTTAAGAGCCAGGTAGTTCAGAGGATGACAAATTAGCAATTATTTGCCAGTTTTTGCATTTAGAGGAACACTGATGTAAACAGGATTTTTATAGTTATAATGTCCTCCTGGACAGAGATCTTTTATTACAGATAACTCTTGGTGTTCTGCTTTCTGATTTAATGGCTAGAGTAAAACAAGTTAATTTTTGTGGGCAGGCTGCTTAAGTTGTTTGATGATATTTAAATTGTTGAGTGTTATATGAAAAATTGCCTGTGCAAACAGCAACTCTCTCCAATTTAGTGATTTGGAATAGAGAATGACAGATGCGAATCATCTTGTCTTTGGTACGGCTTTTTTTTATTGTTGACATGCAACAAAATTGGATTGTATAAAACTGTGTTACATCTGTGAACTGTGTTACATCTGTGAACTGTTTACATCTATGAACTGTGAACAGTTCTAAGGCTTTTGCAAATAGATTCAAAATGCCACACAAAAAGGGTGAATGGCATGGAAAGGTTTTAGGGTATACATTCTGAAACCTTCCTGTTTTTGTCCCCAAAGTTCACAACCCAAAATGGAGGTTAATCTAGTAAAAGCAGTCCAGCAAACTTAACCCAGTCTAGTCACTTCCATTGCATAGATGGGTAGGATTGTGAAGGGTTAGCCAATGAATATCTGGAATGAATGTCACTGTTTTCATTCACAAAGCTGATGCAGATGCCTTAAAGATACTTCTGGAGATGAAGATGAAGAAGAGACAAAAGAAACCCAGCCTTCCAAGCACTGTGACGGAATTTGCAACTGAAGAGGGCTCCAAAGTTTATGTCGTCGGCACGGCCCACTTCAGCGATAGCAGCAAAAAAGATGTAGTAAAGGTAATTATTGATATTTGCAGTGGATTTTCCTTTAATAGATGATCTTCTGTGAAATCTTGCATAGTTTTGTAAAATGCAAGAAAAAGAATTTCTTTATAGTTGAAGAGAACATACCTTTGTTTCAAGTTTCTATCAAATCATTTTTGTAACATAAATACGTAATCTATGAGTATCTAGTTTGAGGATCTTTTTGTGGCTTTAATACAACTCTGAAGCTTTAAAGGAAAATGGAGTATGTGAAACCTTAGGACAAAAATCCTGATGTGAAAAAAAAATCCTTTCTTTACATGAAAAGAAGGGTTGCCTTCTATCTCTTTTGTTAACTTCTATAAGAATTCTAGAAAGGCGAGTATCTAAAAGTTCTTTTTAAAAAAGATTGTTTAAGTCATTTTAATAATGTAGTTACATTTAGTTGTGAATGCTCCAACACTGGAAGCTACTTTAAACTTGTAAAATTTTCAAAACAGAACAGAAACATTTATTATACTTTATACTGTGTTTTAAAAGAGATCTCTGATGAGGCTATTCAGCAATTTAGTATAGAAGGTTGCAGGTTGGTTCTTTTTAATTTTGTCTGTAGGTTTCAGCCTGAATCCATCTCTTGCAGACAATACAGGAGGTTCAGCCTGATGTGGTTGTTGTTGAGCTGTGCCAGTATAGAGTTTCTATGTTAAAAATGGATGAAAGAACTTTGCTAAAGGAAGCCAAAGAAATTAATCTGGAGAAGCTTCAGCAAGCTATAAAGCAGGTATGTGTTCCTCGGTGATAAAGTCTACTTGTTTTGGGTCTGTGAGATAATTCTTCACAAAGAGATTCAAATCATAACTTTCCTACTTCTATAGCCAGCTGCCACTGAGGCTGGTGTTAAGTATATAATATGACATCAGGGGTTTTTTTTGTAGCTTTTTCCACAGGTGTATAGCAATAGAGCACAGCTGTGAATGCAAGCGTAAACTTGTGTAAGTTTAAATTTTCCAACTTTTTCTGAAATTCCTTCAGAAAAGGGTCAAAACCATTTTTTGAAATCTAAGTCATGGCTGTCCAACCTTGGTAACTTTTAAGACTTCTGGATTTCAACTCCCATAATCTTGTGTCATGCCCTTTGTAGAGTCGGACTCTGAGGGAGAGGAGGAACAACTCACTTCTTCGTGTTCACTGCTTTTCAGAAGGGGTACGGAGGTGAATTGCAGTGTTGTGTGAAAGAGCTAATATGACTTGGCCTCTTCTGCTCAGCCACGCTCTGGACATTGTGTCCGTTTTTTTTATTGTTTAAAGTTGAAATGAGTCATTGCATAGGTTGAAAGAGGTTGGAAGTAAAACAAGGAGCAGAGAGAAGAGGAAAGACGAGTTTGTAGTCGTGGAGAAGGAAATACTTTCTAGAGTATGCAGGGGTATAATAAATAAGGCTCCGGCAGAATTGCTCAGCAGCCATTTGATCATGGGAGAAAAACTCTGATGCTTTAAAGGAGTTGCACACAGAAGCTATGCTTGTACCCTCAAACCCTCTGAAGAACCTTGAACTCTTTAACAGCCTTAAAATACATAACCTAAATAGCAATAGCACTTTTATTTATATACAGAGCTTTACAGCCCTCTATAAGCGATATACATAGTCAGCCTATTGCCCCCAACAATCTGGGTCCTCATTTTACCCACCTCGGAAGGATGGAAGGCTGAGTCAACCTTGAGCCTGGTGAGATTCGACCTGCCAAATTGCAGTCAGCTGGCAGTTAGCAGAAGTAGCCTGCAGTACAGCACTCTAACCACTGATCCACCGTGGCTCAAAATAGTTTAAGGGAGAGGGCCCCAAATGCAACTCAAGAAGATTTTTTAAAAATGAAAATTTCAGTTACGTTAAATCTTTTTGAAAGGACAATCTAATAAATCAACATTTTGAAATGTGATTATTTGGTGCAACTTCCAACAATGTGCAGAGAACCAAGACATGTGATAAGTTTTTGATAATGTTCTTGGCAGACTGGACTTCACATTCTAAACACTTCTATTTCTTCCTTACTGAGTATGAGCAGAGAATGAGGGATCAGTAACCTGTGACTCACCCTAAAGAAAAATTTCTGTTTCCTGTTACATAGTGCAAATATTGCAACATTTAGAAGTTACAGCAATGTCTACAAAACGATGTACCTAAAGCAGAATGATTTTCTAATCTACATTTGGAAATAGGAAATATAATCTCTTTTTCTTTTGCGGGGGAACGGGGTAGAGTTCTTCTGTCAATAAAGAACTCTGGTTTTGTTTTTTTTTAAAAAAACCCTAAATATATAACAAAAAAACGATAAAATATATAACAATGACATTATTTTAGGGAAAGCTGTTTGAAACGATAGTATGGTCTGCAGTGCTGTTCTCTGAATGTTTTAGTTCCTACAAACCAGCAATGTAGAACTTTGTTCAGCCTTTGTGTATGTATGCTGACATGCACCAAAGGAAGGTGAGGTGGCTGTGACTTAATGACTCTGGAGGCGTCTCCGCTCCGGCATTGCAAGCCCTAGTACTGTGTGGCAGAATAAGCTCCTGTCACTTGCTTCAGTGTCTGTCTACTTAACCGTTTGAAAGCACGTTCTGTGCAAGTAGATAGATAGGTACCATTTTGGTGGAGAGACGAGTTGGTACTCTTCTGCAGGCAGGCAGATCACAGGTCTGAACCTTCCCGTTTGCGGTCCATTTGTGACGCAGTTCTTGAAAGTGGGGGGGGGGATTAGGCCTTCCCTTCTGTCTGGTGTGAAGCCAGCTTGCCCTCCTGTGGAGCATCTTGGCAAAAATGCAGAAGCATGTCCTACCACAGGTCTGGTATCTCGGCAAGCCAAACTTAATTTCTCTGTAACTGCATTGTGATCTGCTGGCTCTTGTAACAATGCCATATGCTAATAACAATAACAACAACAATGCATTGTTAATTTTTTACCAGTCCCGGATTGTGAATCGAATTGAAGATTAACCATAGCAGCAACCGCAACAAGCACCAATGACATTTAGAAATTCTGTCTTAACGTAAAAGTACAGTCTGATGGCAAAGGAATTCAACTGAGATCATACCATTATTAGCAAAGAAGCAGAATGCTACATAATTGTTTTTAAAGAGGAAAATCAGCAATTAAAAACAAACAAACCTCTTTTTGTTTTAAGTAAGAGGAAAATAAATGATGTGTTGCATTGGACTGTTCAATTGCTGATTTATTTAAGGAATTAGTGTTACTGTTCCCTGACAAGAAGGTTGAAACAATAAACATTATTATGCTAGGACGAGTCAGATATTTTTAGAACTATTTTCTTCCCTTTTGATTCTTCAGGCAGGAAATTAACAGATGATTAGAGTTTTTAGTAGCTTTTGGATTATATGCATATAATTATTAGTTTGAATCAGTCTACTGAAGGTTATACTGAAGGTTATGGATCATATATAGGAGGGCCTTTGCACCACATTAGAGGGATATGCCAGTTGAAGCTTTGCTGGATTGGAAGACTTTGTTCATAGTCATTGATGGTTTCGTTAGCTCTTGTATTGACTACTACAACGTACCGGCATGGGGCTGCCCTTGAAGAGTATTCAGAAGCTTCACAGGAAGTAAAGGGTCTTGGATATTTGACACATTATAAGACAATTGCTTACTGAGCTGCAATGTTTACCAGTGTTTCCAGATGCAATTTAGGCTCCTGTTATCTCTATATTACTAGCATTCTCATTGTTATGACCTTTCAACTGGGTAAAATGGCGCATCAGGGGGCAACAACTTTTTAATCAACATACCTCAAATGGGATAACTTATAGAATGCATCCAAAATCCATGACCCAGGACTTCCAAAGGAATGAAATTTGGGGAAATTGGTTCAGTACGATAGGCTGTTGCTGCAGTTCATAATCTTTCAATGTTTCGTAATAGCTTCTCAGCCAATCTCTCAACCCCTGTCTGCTGTGACGGGGAGGGGAACGAAGGAAGGAAGGTTTCTGCTTGAGTTCCACCAGTAAAGTCAATGGGGAAGCTGACTGGAAGTTAGAAGTTGCCACTGCTAGCACTGTTTTCCCCCTCTCCCCCCCAAGCCACTCACGGTCATTCTGTTTAGTTAAAGAAACGACGACCGCATAGGCCATGGATAGTCTGGTCAGCTGGAAAGCCTTCATGGCTTGGAGCCATGTTACCTTAGGGACTGTCTCTTCCTGGTTGTTTCTACCCTCCCATTCAGTCAGGGAGGTGGGGGTGTTACCGTTCCTGTTAGCAAAGGAATGTCAGGGAGCAAGAGCCTGGAGACTTGCATTCTCTGCCATCGGGGTGGGCTTCAAAAATTTTAGCAAAGGGTTCTCTGCCCGGTTGCTGAGTGGGCATGGCCATGGTGGGCATGGCCTAGTTCAGTGGCCCCCCAACCTGTTTTGTACCACAGACCGGTACAAAATGATCCACAGACCGGTACCGGCATCAGTACGCACGACCAAGGCAAGGCGAGCCGAGTGACCAGCCAGCCAGCCGTCCCCCGCTTCTCCCCGCCACCTTCAACTCCTCCTTTGTACCTTCTCGCGGTCGATGGGCTTTTCGGGCTCTTTCTTAATCTCCTCCTGAGTAACGCGAGACTCCACTGCCATCAGGACAGCTCTTTGTTCGAAGCCGCCCTCCCCCTTCGACAAAACTAAGGCGCGAGGATTCCTTCAGCACCCAAACACCGCTTTCCAACCGACGACCGACAAGCTCACCTGGAAGCACTTTCTCAAGCGCCGTCGAAACAAGATGGCGGCGCCCAAGCAAAATAGGCGGACCGGTAGCAGTCCGGGGCCCGGTGGTTGGGGACCACTGGCCTAGTTGACTTCCTGCACCATGGCGGGGATGTGTGTTTTTTCCCTCCCCAGGCTCCAGGGGCTTTCCTTGAGCCTCCAGGCGGGTGAAAATGGCCTCCCCGGGCTCTAGAGGCTCTCTGGAAACCAGAAAGGGGCCCATTTCCGCCTTCCCAAACTTCCAGGAGGCCTGTTTTTCACCCTCCCCGAGCCTCCACGCACGCCCTGCTCTTACCTGCATCCAAAAGAAGCCGCGTGGGGACTCCCCGGGGAGGGGAGGGGAGGGGCAGGGTGGGTGGGGTCAGCCAGGAGTGGGATTTGGGGGGTACTCCAAACTGCACAGAATCTTAGGGGTTCTCCCGAACCCCTGCGAGCCCCCAGCAGCCCACCCCTGACTTCCATAGCCCCTCTCCTATGGAATATTCTCCCTTCAGGTATCAAGAGGCCCCCCGATCCTGCTTCCCTTTTGCAAGACTCTGAAGATTTGGTTGTGTGTGAGGGGGCCTAGGCCTTACGTGCGTTAAGGTAGCAGCCCCCCAACTTTTTGGGCACCAGGGGCTGGTTCTGTGGAGAGGTTTTTCTGTGGACCGGAAGGGGCGTGCTTTCACATGCTGCCAGCATCCAGCTTTGCTTGTTTGTGTGGCCTGGTTTCTGGCATGCCACGGACCGGTGCCGGTTCATGGACTGAGGGCCTGAGACCCCTGCGTTAAGGGGCCCATTTCCTGGTTGCATTGCCATGCACAGTAACAGTTTTACTTGGTGCCATTTGTATTTATTTTGTCCTGTTCGAACTGTTGTTATGTTTTATGATGGATGCTGCCCAGAATCACTGGATGAAATGGGCAGCTATAGAAATCAAATAAATAACATAAGCTATCATATTAGTCCAGTGGTGGCTGGTAGGTAGATGGTTTTTAGCTTCCCTGTTACGAGCTGAAAGAGCCAACTTCTATAACTAAGGTAAGACTAGAACTTGTCACTGTGCTCTTCGCTCACCATCGTTACCACTGCAATAGCTCTGTGCATGTGTGGGTGTGCATACACTTTATATGTTTGTAGGAAATTTGGTAGAAAGCCAGCTCCAAATTGTAGAATAGCTATTTTCCTGCTTTCACAAGAGTGTTAATGGAGTTATATTTGTCATTTCTTCTATTCGGTTCACGTTCATTTTAATGACAGTCTCTTCCTTCCTCATGTCAGAATGGGCTCATGTCTGGATTGATGCAAATGCTGCTGCTGAAAGTATCTGCACATATCACAGAACAATTAGGAATGGCTCCTGGAGGTGAATTCAGGGAAGCTTTCAAAGAGGTGAGCTTAAAATAAAAATAACAATACTTTTTTTTTCCCCTGAGGCAATACTATGAATTGCAAAAGACTCGCAGCTTAAAAAAAGAAAAAGAAAGGAGATATCCATTTATTTGATCAGATTCTCCTGGGCCAATTTCTATTGTTTAAAAATGGGAAGAAATTCTTTTTTAAACCCCCCCCCCTTTTTTTTTTTAAAAAGTATCCATCAAACAGAATGGGACAATTCTCAGTGTCCAACTTGTTGTGGAAAAACTCACTACAAATACAAAAGTTCATTTCGACCAAACTATGACCAAAAGTAATAAAATGAAGAAAGTCAATCCGGAAATAGACAAGTTACAGTAATTTCAGTGAAAACGTGGTCACCAATAATAAAAGTATGTGATTAATACAGCATTGAATGGTCCTGCAGCCAGTTGTCCCGCAGCGAACTGGCTGCGGTGAGTTGGTCCCAGAACCCCATTGAAGTCTGTGCTTCTCTGTTACGGGTTTCAATCTCAGTGCTAATGTCAAGGATCTGCAAGGATTGTGATTTGACACATAGCCAAGGAATTTGAAAGAGCTTTCAAAATACAGTTGGTCCTCAACTTACAACAGTTCATTTAGTTCATTTCAACGACACTGAAAAAAGTGACTTACGACCGTTTTACACAATTATAACTATTTCCAGCATTCCCATGGTCATGTGATCAAAATTCAGATAGCAATAGCAGTAGCGCTTAGACTTATCTACTGCTTTTTACAGCCCTCTCTAAGCAGTTTACAAAGTCAGCATATTGTCCCCGACAATCTGGGCCCTCATTTTACCTACCTCGGAAGGATGGAAGGCTGAGTCAACCTTGAGCCTGGTGAGATTCGAACTGCCATATTGCAGGCAGCTGGCAGTCAGCAGTAGCAGCCTGCAGTACTGCACTCTAACCACTGCACCACCACAGCTCTTAATACTTGGCGCTTGGCAAATGACTCCTATTTATAATGGTGGCAAAGTCAATGGAGAAGCCAGATTCACCTAACAACCATGTTACTAGCTTAACAACTATAGTGATTCACTTAACAACTATGACAAGAAAAGTCGTAAAATGAGGTAAAACACTTAACAAATGTTTCATTTAGCAACAGAAATTTTGGGCTCAATTGTCATAAAATGAAGATAACCTGTATTCTGGCATACATTAGCATATAACGGTGATACTCCATATTTCTCAATGTTAGCAAAGTCCTATCTCTAGCAATGTGCTTGCTAGGGAATTCTGGGAATTGAAATCCCTATAGGTAGTCCTTGATTTACAGCCAAGGGGTAACAAAATGAGTCATCACATGATCGGACCTGATTTTATGACCATTTTTAACACAGTCTTTAAGCAAAACACCGCAGCTGTTAAATCATGCAGTTAAGAGAATCACACAGTCCTTAAATGAATTAGACTTTCCCAATTGATTTTGCTTGTCAGAATTCAATTCAGAAAGTCACACATCATAATCACATAACCCCCCCAAATGCTGCAACCACTGTAAATGTGAGCCAGCACCCTAACATTGATCACATGACCGTGTAGGTAGTGCTATGGTCATAACTCTAAGGATGGATCATAAGTTATTTTTTTCATAACTGTCAGTAAACAAATGGTTATAAGTTGAGAACTATCTGTCCATCTTAAAGTTGCTGAGATTTAGAAGCGCTGTTGTTAGATCACACCTGGGCCCACAACTGTCCTCTTATTTGCTCTGAAGACATGTTTCTCTTCATGGCAGTATTATTTCTGTGTATTTGGTGATCAGAAAGGTCGGCAGTTCGGCGGTTCGAATGCCTAGCATCGCATAACGAGTGAGCTCCCGTTACTTGTCCCAGATTCTGCCAACCTAGCAGTGCAAAAGCACGTGAAAAAAAATGCAAGTAGAAAAATAGGGACCACTTTGGTGGGAAGGTTACAGTGTTCTGTGCGTCTTCAGCATTTAGTCATGTCGGCCACATGACCATGGAGACGTCTTCGGACAGTGCTGGCTCTTCGGCTTTGTAAGGGAGATGAGCACTGCCCCCTAGAGTCGGAAACGATTAGCACATATGTGCGAGGGGAACCTTTACCTTTATTTGTAGATTAAAGCCTTTCTCGAACATTTAAGCTTAGCGGGAATTTGTCTAAAATGTTGGTGAACATTGAACCCTTGAATCTATCTGATGGATGATAACTAAAATGAAAGAGGCAAATATAGGCAACGTTCAGTTCGTTTAATTTGAACAGTGGTGTTGCCTTACTAAATTCTCAGGGATAATATTGGCCGCCAGAATCCAAAAAGTGTTCCAGATTCGCTCAATGGATGAAATGAATCCTCCTGGTGTGGTTGATCCCACATATTTTAAGTTCCCAGTCTAGCTGCCGCTTCAGTCTGTATAGTATAAAAACAAAATATATGTGCACTTTTTTAAGTCACCTTCTGCTGACTGAAATCTAAACCAGTTTAGCAATTTGGAAAGTCAGAAATGATTTTACTTGCAAAAAGGAGTTTTTAATTGCAACCATCCTCCTTCCCCCCACCAGTTCCCCATTCAAGACCCATTCAGTCTTTTCATTTGCCCAGGGCCTTAAACCCCCCTAGAAGTTTATTTTCAAAAATCTGGTTGTTGTTTTACTGCTAGGAAGCCGCATATATCAAAAGCTTTCTCTTGCACCTGGGTTGTGGTTAGCTTCAGTATTCCGTAGAACCCAAAATACTAATACTAATGCTAATACTAATTATTATTATTATTATTATTATTATTATTATTATTATTATTATTATTATTATTATTATTTGAATCATGACCGGATCTTCCAATGGGCAGCTTGTCTTTACTGATAAACGAAGGTAAAAATGAACAAAGACATTGATGTCAGTATTATTGTGTATCTTTGCTGTTAGAAACTTATGCAGCGCTAATCTGACTCCTGTTCTAGGCGAGTAAAGTGCCTTTCTGCAAGTTTCACCTTGGAGATAGACCGATTCCAGTCACATTCAAGAGAGCCATTGCTGCACTTTCTATCTGGCAAAAAATAAAGCTTGCTTGGGGCCTCTGTTTCCTGTCTGATCCAATCAGGTAGGCAATTACTGAACAGACTGCATACTTCTCAAAGGGTACTAGATGCTTGTGCAAACATTGGTAAATGCATTGAAAGGGTAGTTTGCCGGGTATGGAGTGAATGGGCGGGGAGGGTTCCCGCGGGCCATGTGGGCGGCGCAGCCTTGTGTTTCTGCGCAGCCTGGATTGATTGCTTTGGGGGTGAGATTTCTCTGCGGCCCACCAAAATTATCTCGCGGCCCACCGTTTGGCGACTACTGGTTTAGATTACAGTATTTATATAGCAACTCACAGGAAAAATATAACAGCTCAGAGGATAAAACATATACTGCGTGAAAAAAAGACATATTACAACATGAATAGCAAAGTTCACCCAATAAGCGGAACTTCAGAATATACATAAAGAATTGCTGTGGTGGATGACAACATTGTTAAAAATTCAGCATGTGAGAGAATGTTGCAGTCAGAGAAAATATTTTTTTCAGAGGAGCCTGTCTGAGGATTACTGTTCTACCACAATCTTAAGGAAAGTTGAAGTAGTGGAATGCTGCTAGACAAATAGAAACTATTGTATGCCTGAATTATCTTTTAACTACCGGTAATTGTGGAGATCATTGCCAAGATTAACAAGTTACCTTTCTTGTTTTTACTTCAAGGGAAAAAAAAATCTGCATTTAAAATTTAACTCAAAGCAGTACAATACACTGTATTTCAGCATTTCAAAATATTCTGCAGTCAAGGGCACAATTAGCTAATTTGTATGATCTAATTATAAAAAATATAGTTGAGAAAGCCAGAAATTTCAGCCAAGGTTTCCAAATTAGAACAGTTTATTTTATTCATTTTATGTATCTCCTTGAAAGAAGAACGCAATACACGGAAGTTAAACTAAAAATAGAGTCGCAGAAAAATTGTTAGTCTTCGGATCTTTTCAGAACGACCACTACCATGAAAAAAATGGGAAGTTTTGCCTTAGTTGCTCAAAAAATCTTATAAAAGACATTAGACATTGGCACCTAAGGAATAATTTGATTTCAGTCAATTCCTTTTTAGAAGAACATGAAAGGAACTGTAGTTCATGGATGAACATATCTCCCAATTTTTTATATATCTGCTTTTGTCTGTTTAGTTGGGCTAATTTAAATCTGAACTATATCGATCCATCTCAAGGAGGAGCATGGGCGGAGTTAAGGATTAAGGCTCATGCCTTTTAGTCAATAATGCCTTTACAATCATTTTAATTACCTTTGGACAGTATCAGCCATATTAAAAAGGAAACGGTGTTAAATAATGAAATAAAAAAGGCTAAGCACCTGTCATCCCATCATTCATGCTCTCATTGAGCAATTTTCTCCCTATTGCTCTTAAGAGTAAAGCAATCAGAATCAGATGTTTTAATCTGGATACAGAGTTGAGGTAAGATTTGACACGGTGCTTCAGAAGAATCTAAAAACTGCTTTGGAGGCAAAGTAAGAGGTATGTTCTCGGAGTAGCCTCTGCAGCATAGAGGTGGAGCTCTTACCTCACAATCAGGAGGCTGTGAGTTCAATCGTAAGTAGAGGCTACTAATTGGAATACACTCTCCTGCTCAAGCAGGGGGTTGGACTAGATGACCTCCAAGGTACCTTCCAACTCTGTTATTATTCTATTCTAAAAGCGTGAGAGGGACACCCTTGCCTATTTGTGTGGTGACAAGTCCCTAAATTGCAATATTTAACTTGTCTTTTTTTCTGTTACTACTCTATAGAGGCCTCTATTATTCAAAAATTGCATCTTATTTCTTACTGTGGCTTTGTAACTCTCTGAATCAGACAGTAATGAAATTCTTCTGTCATACTTAGCATAAACAGCACACTAGGCCCATTTGGATACTGTCTTGGTTATGCTGATATGGGAATCCTCCTCATCTTCATTTAATGATCCCATAATCCCTTGCAGGTTGGAGCCTGGGCAGCTGAATGGAGCTGGCAGGGTGTTTTAATGGCCGGATGCCCTTCCTGTTGCCAATGCGGAGTTTTGTTCAGCAGATAGATTAGGTAGAATCTAATAGATAGGATTGAATTCACAGTCTCCTGATTGTGAGGCAAGATTTCCACCTCTAGGCCAACGCACCATTCCCCTGTACTGATATGGGAATAATGTGAAATAATGTCTAATGACTAAGGAGTCTTCTTTTGGGTATCTCAGCTGTACCAAGTCTTCTGTTGTAACTTATGCGACATAAACGTAACAGCCAAGCAAGACTGAACGTCTTTCCAAAGAAATGACACCTTATAATTAGAATGTGTTTTGTTGTACTTTTAGTCATCCACACTTCCCACTCACTCTTTGAGCATAGTAAGGTAACAGCTGTTTTATTAATTCTCTGTTGCCCGTTCTTGGCAATAGAAATACCTACTAAGTTTGTTTACAACTATGTTGTTGCCAACCGTTCTGGTCTAGCTTGCTCCTGAGCCAGATTTCCACTGCATGCAAAGAATATGCACAATGGTTATTCAAAAGGTGGTTTCTCTTGCAGGAAGGTATTACATAAATTCAGGTTCTATTGCTACCACCATAGTTAAAGAACATTTCTTCCATGAGCTGTTCAGAGTATCCAGAAGTGGGAGGTGCTTCAGTCTCTTCTGGAAAGGCTGGGCTTAAAACTCCGGGACGCTCCTCCTCCTCCTCCTCCACAGGACACCTCCCCAGCGTCCCCCAGTTTTAGCTCAGCCTTCGTGGTAAGAGGTTGTGCACTCCCTGACTGGAACGGTTTTCTGAATCAGGTTTGCTCTTGGGTTATTTCGGCTTGTAAAAATCTTCCCCATTTAATTTGGCTTTTTTTCAGGCTTGTGCCTCTATTAGGTTGCCTCGATCAGTTTAAAAACAGTTTCTTTGTAACTAGCGGAGCCTGCCACTCCGCGGGCAGTCTGAGGTGACCACCTCAGGCAATTACCTTATCTAACTTTCCGATCATCTTCTCTGCGATCGTAGCGGAGCGCTCGCAGCCGCGGCTCACTTCGCCTTGCCGTTTCGTCTGACAGGAGCATTTAACTCGCAAGTTAGAGCCTCAGCAGCAGTGGCTCGTTAGACTTCTCAGATATTAGCAGCGGAGATTCTGGCTTCCCGTCTTTTTCAACGGCTGGCTGAAGTTCGCGCCTAAATATCACAGGCGCCATTCCCCTCTGGTTTCCCTTTTTGGGGACCGGGGCAGTACCTTCCCACTTCGTTCTCCCTGGGTTTAGCTCTCCCTAGTCTGGCTGACGTTGGATAAGCAGGCTAGTCATTAAAAAGGAATTTCCTTGCAATTGCCTTTGGATCATTTCTTTGGAGTGAAGCTGCAAGTGCCATTTTAAACAGCGGGACGTTTTCTTTTGACAGGAAATAATCCGCCTCAGATCCTGTATAGCTGGTTTCCCTTGTTGGGGACCAGGGATCCAGAAAGTTCTCGCTTGGAGGTTTCCCTTGTTGGGGACCCTTAGATACTGTTTACCATATGCACAGTTTTACATATAGATATAGGCATATGTATATGGGCGTGTATATATATATATATATATATGTGTGTGTGTGTGTGTGTGTGTGTGTGTGTGTGTTAAGTTTTCGTGGGTACTTACATGTATGGCATTCAGCTTTGTTCAGGTATTTTCCCACGTCATTGTAGTTGTGCTTTTAAAGTTGTAGCAACGTTTTGGCAGAATCTCATCTGCCATCATCCAGAAGCCTGATGATGGCAGATGAGATTCTGCCGAAACGTTGCTACAACTTTAAAAACACAACTACAATGACGTGGGAAAATACCCGAACAAAGCTGAATGCCATACATACATACATATACTTACTCTCCTGGAGGAGCGTTCTACTTTCAACCACAGGGGAAGGCATCACCCCAAAGTACAAATATTAATAACAATAATAATAATTTAAAAAAAATTAATTAAAAATTAAAGTCAGAGGCAAGAGAATCAGTCATCCACAATGGAAGGTGACAACGCTTTCCGCTCCAAAACAAATAAGTCCCAAGATAAACCAGTGGGCCCCAAAAAGACCTCTAAGGCAGCAGATAAGGATGCCCATAGATGGCACCTAGCTTTGGAAAGGCAATTGCAGAAACGAGCCAGGGAGGCAGACAAGATGGCTGTGACACAACAATCTGATCAAGACCCAAGTCCATTGTTGAGGCCCTTGGACTTATCTACCCAGCCCAGGCAGGCTGTTTCTGGACAACCTCCCATAGGCACATCTCCTCCAATGAGCACTGCCTGGCTAATCCCAGAGGCAACCTTCACCCCTACGGTTGCCGGCCTAAGACAGGAGGAGGGATTACCTGAGACTATTCCCATCGAAATGAGGCAATGGATGGAGATGGCGATTCAAAGGGGCATTACGGCTGGAATTCAGCAATCCATCAGGACCAGACACTTCTCGGCCACTTCAGATGCGGGATCCCTGTCCGCTCGATCCTTTGTGCATATTGGACAACATCAAACTCAGGTATTCCCCAATATTCCTAATATACCAGCTCAGGGTCTTCGGGAGGAGGTAGAATTTGAGGATCAGGATGTTCCCATGGAGGTGGGGTCGATCCATCAGATGGACTTGGGGTTGTCAGAGGCTGACCCACTAGAACGGGGAATGTTGGACGACGAAGGCCTCATTCCAGACCAACCTACCTTTTCTGGCCTTTTTCGCCCACACCTCTTTAAATCCTTACTGTTCAAGGCAAAGAACACTGCTAAACTAGGCACATCAAACCCTCATCCATTGTCAACAGGGTCTCAGGACGAATCCGAGGATCTAATATTCTCACAACCAGCTAATGAGGCGGAAACTATTCCTGTCCCTCGTATGTTTGCTGAATTAGTACAAAATCAATGGGCATCAGCAGCATCATACCCAGCCCCAACGGGGTACGATAAACAATATTATAATTTGGCACCAGAGTTTTCAAATTTTCTCAAAACGCCGGGGGTGGATGAACCCATTGTGGCACTGGCCTCTTCTTCAACCTTTCCCAACGAGGCCGAGGAAGCCCTGAG